ACTTGTTTATTTGTCATCCTTATGGTAAAAAAACAACTTCCTTTCATTTTATCAGAAAGTCTCATGTTGCACTTGTGCCTGTTGCCTCTTACCCAAGCAAGGTGTATCTCCAAGAAGATGTCATAGGGACAGAAAAATATAGGAAAGACATTGAGCTCCACACTGAATTGGAGATCCCTGAATCTTACAGACTGTTACCCAGGGAGGTGGTGGTGTCGCCATCCTTGAAACTCTTCAAAAGCCAAGGTCCTGGGCAATGGGCTCCAGGTGGCCCTGCCCGAGCATGGGGGGTGGACCAGATGACCTCTGGAAGTCCCTTCCAGCCTCAGTTAGTCTCTGCTTCTATGACTCTGTACAGAGCATGTGACTTCTGAAACCACAGCTTTCAAAGTCTAGAAAGTCAGATTGTAGCTGTCTATGTAGCCAATTGCCCTGTATGTTTTAATTTTCAGTTCCTCTGTGCTGTTTAATCACTTGCAAACATGGTGCTAGTGTTTAAGAAGATGGGCTGGTACATAGTATTATATTTTCTTTTTATTATGTTATTATTACTATTTCATTAGTTTAGTTTCCTTTCAACTCATAAGTCTCTCTCCCTCTCATTTTCTCTCCTCTCCTCTGAAGGCAGATGCTCTCCCTTCTCTGAAGGGGAGAGAGGTCAAAGGGAGCATCTGCTGCTCATGGCAGTGGCCAGCCCAGCCCAAACCATGCCATCACAATGAGGCAACAAGCAGGCAACTTTATCACGTCCTGTATCCCTGACTAAACTGGAGTTGAAAAGCCTGGCTTCAAGGTAGGCAGCCTCCCCTGAATGATCCAGTCCTGGACAAGGAGGTTTCTAGTGGCACTGGGGTTGTCTGTGGGCATCCACGAGACCTGCCTAGGTCTGATGGGCATGACACAAAGCTTACAGAAGACATGCAGGTTTCTGCAGCAGCCAAATATTGTCCCTGAAGCAGGAATAGCTGTAAAGCAAGGACAGGAGAATGAAAAGATCTCAGCCAAACCAAACACCACGGGATTTTTCAGCTTTGTATTAGCAAAGCAGAGGGAGTGGATGTCCACTGCCGGCAGCAATGAGTGTCTCTGCTGTATGGAACTGGAGATCCCTCTGCTTTGCAAAGCACCAGTGAAGTTGGTCTTGGGGAACTGGAAGGACTCACTGTTCCAGTTGCCCCTCTTCTTCTGGTTTTTCAGGGGAGCTGTGAGAGGCAGCTCCCCTGAAAGGAGCAGAGTTGTCCGTGGGTCACCTGTAACACTAGAGGATGTGGTGCTTTCTTGGCGAGGACATCGTATACTGGGTGCAGAGAAGAGGAGGAGAGCAACCTTGGTTGCTCACCATGGCCAGGAAGCTCTGCTCTGAGACAGGAGACGGCAAGGAACAGTGTTTATCACCTGAAGGCTGATGTCTTGGAGGATTTCCCTTTCACATCCTCATGCCCCTGGTTCAGGAAATTCCAGCAAGCCCTTCTGCTGTTTTCCTTTGATTCCCACCAAACCAAGCCTGAGGACTGACAAGGAGAGCAAGGCTGAGCAAAGTTTGTACCAAATGGAACTGCATTCCTTGAGGACCCTTGCCACAAGGACCTGAGACTGCCTGTCCCTCTGTCCTGACACCACCGAGAACAAAATGGGGCCACCAGCTGGAGTTTCAGGCACACACAATTGAATAGGGAGATTTCCAGAGAGGAAAGAAATGCAGAAGACAAGCTGATAACTGATGCAGGGTCGAGACGTGAGGGTGGTGCCCAAAGAAGGAACCACCCAAAGCGATGCTGCAAGTACTTGGTGTGGCCATGGCAGAGCTCCAGGAGTGCCTGTGTGCCCAGTGCTCTGCACTTCTTCATCTTCCATAATATTTTGGAAAATGTTTTGGAGTTGAGAAGCTAGTTCTGCCTGCAGCTCCCCCTGCACTATCTCATCCTTCTTTGTTTTAATAAAGTTTTCTACTTCTTTCTCTAGTTGGATGTTCATGTGTTTCATCTCACAATTTTTTAGAAATACAGTCTTTTCCTTGTAACTGCACCAAAATGAAAAAAATGGTGTAAATGAAATAAATGCCAACACTTAATGAGGTGGAAAACAATACAAAAACCTAAAGAGGAAGCAGCTTAAGTGGTCACTATTGACAGAACCCTTTAAAATTTCATTGTGCTGCTGGAAAGACGGGAACTTTCACATTTTCCCAATGACTGAGATGTATTTCCTAACTTAGACGTACTCAGTTATCTTTGCTATGATGGGATTTTGTAATGATATTGTAAGTCCACCCTTAACACATGAGCCACTCAGCCAGTTTCTCTGATATTGACCTACAGATAATTTTGGGCAACTCTTTTTTCAGAGTAAATCTCAAGATTTCAGAACTGAAGCAGGAGAGGTTCTGGCTGTATGAAAGAAAGAGGTCCATCAGGCAGGACCAGAACCCTGGGAACTGTTTCACCAGTGAAACTGTGCAGTCACTGCAAGAGACAGAGGCAGAAGAAAAGTCACATCTTGGCCTCTTGACTGTGTCTTTCCATTCTGTAGGCTTGTTGTTTCTGACCACAAGACTAAAAAAAAGTCTCCGTAAGTTGACAGGGCTCTCTGAGGTGTGTTTTGCTCAAAGCCAAACCAGAGACCACGTCGTTCCCTTTCAGGAAGCCCTGCTTGCAAGCTGCTGAGCAGAGCACACCCTCGCTTCTGTGGTTTCCCCCCCTCGCACACCGCCTGCACAAACACAGCCAAGAAGACAGGAAACATCTGCAAGGTGCTCCCCCCACCAGCCTCCCTCTGCCCCAAGGCAATTGCTGCCCTGGGAGACTGTTTCACAGACTAGTTCAGGCTGGAGCTCATCTGCTCCAACCCCACTGCACAGGGAGGGCCAATTGGAGCCGCTTGCCCAGGATCATGGAAGCCCAATAAAACTACCTACACGAAAAATACAGTTTTGAGTACGCATCTGTCAATCACAGATTCTGGAAGACATCAACTAATCCCCATCATCCCTCGGAGCTCGGTCTGCTCTCACCTCAGAAAGATGAGGGTGAAAGTGATGAACTGACTGGACGTGGGTCTGCTTGGACCTGAGGAGCTTTGGCTCACACATTTCACAAGGTCATCGTGGCAAGAAATTTCTGTGTCTGTAAAACCCTGATGCCTCAATTTTCTGCTGAACCTCTCACCTTCCTGGAAATCTACCCAGTAAGGGCTGGAGCGTGGTCTTAGAGGGGCCAGAGCACGGTTTGGAAGAGAAATGTAATTTCATTGGAACATGCTTATCCTAAGGGAAGTTTCCAAAGGCTTGATGTGTTTAATTGCTCTAAATGGGCCTTGGGAAACTCACTTGGCTGACAGTTCCTGCTCCAAAGTGCCTGCAGGTCAACTAAGCAGCTGAAAGAAATGTTCTGGAAAATTAACATGAAAATCACCTTCATCTCGACTGTCTGTGAAAACATGGGTGTGGGACATCTCATGTGGAGGAGACCTGGACACTTCTGGGGGTGCATGGAGTGACAGCCCAGGACATCTCTACTGCCACCAGTGGTTTGCATGTGAGCAGCTGAGTCAAGCACCCAATGTCCAATAAAAAGAGGATAAGAGGGTTATAATTAAAACATCTTAACTTTTTCACTTTTGGGGTAAACCACACTTAGATTTCTGATTTTTCTCCTCTCCCATGGTGTTCCCCATACCAGCTGTGACTGGGACAGAGGAAAGACTCTGGTTATTGCTAGTGGCAGCAGAGTGACTTTTCTCTTGAAACACAGAAATTATTCCAGCTGGTCTAGGATGAGAGCTGTTTGGCACCCTGTGATGTTCAGTCCTCTCCCTTGACAGAAAGATCAGATCTCACAGTCTGGAGAAGTTACACCAATGAGAAAATAAGTCATGCAAACCACAACTCTTCCCATGATACAAGCTCATAAAGCTGTGGGTAATTGTCACAGCCCTCTAACTCCCCCTCTGAGACACTTGCTGTAAAACCTGTGAGACCCGAGCAGGATGTTCATTGATGGCCAGAGTAGCCAGGAATGTCCACCAACCCTCTCAAAACTCCCACAAAGTGGATGGAACCTTCATTTGACCTAATGCCTGTACATCCCCCAAAGGGGTACAGCCAGAAGAACCCAAAGGGGTCTGTCCATCCTCACATGTGTCCCCAGATGTCCCATGTTGCACAGCAGGGTGGGAAGGACAGTTCAGAGCCATGGGACAAGGAAAAATAGAAATAATCTCCCTGGGAGACTGCTCTGTGGTGGCTTCATTGTCAGCATTTGCACTTGTGTCTGCATCGTGCTGGGCAGAACTGGGGTTGGCTCCTGATATGGGGACCTGCACTTGCATTTGTGCTACAGAGAAATAGCTACTTCTTTTTTTTTCGCTCCTCCAGATGGGAAGAAGAGGCACCCTCAGAGGGAGTACCTCACGGGAAAAAGCAAGCAATGCATTTCTGGGTATCAGGCATCTCTAGTAAGACTGGCTCATACATCAAACAGCACCAGCTAAATGCAGCCAAAGCCATGGGGAGCCACAAACACCTGCATTTGCCTTTCAGGGAAACTTTGGAATATGGGAATCTAAGGCAATCAGGGCAAGAAAGATTTGGGACACCCTTCATCAGCATTTTAAATGTTACCCACAGGTCCCAGATGGTGAAAGTCAGCACAACATCCCAGCACTCGGAACACAAGGAAAAACATTGTTTCCCATTTTATTGCCAAATTAATGAAGAGCAATATGGAGTAGAAACTCGTGGGAGTGGTAAAACCAAGGAAATGGTCTCTGCAGAAGCTGTGGGTGCATCTCCTTGGCCCAGGTTGATCGCTTCCCATGTCTCCCCTGGGGAGAGGATAGAGCCCGTGGCACTGCAAATGTCATGCCCAGGTGGGGTTTTTGGTCTTGTTGGATTTCCCAGTCCAGACTTGTCTGAATTCGCTCTGTCAGGGTTTGCATAGAGCAAAGCAGAGTTTTCACTGACCAGCTCTGCTGCTCTCTCCCTTCTCAAGTGTCTCACAGAATCAATGAGGTTTACTGCAGCTCAGCTCAGTTTTTCCTGTATTGTTTTGGAGCCAGAATGTGTTTGGAAAGTCCCAGTCAATGTTGTGGTTGATGGTGAGGGGTTTCCCCTCCTCTCCTGCCTCACCAAGGCCTGGCCTGAGGAAGGGGTACAGCTTGGTTGACCCTTCAAGGCCTTCAATGGAGATTTCCAGGATGCAGTCACAAGTCACAAGGTTGTAGAAGGAGAGTGTGCTCTGCTCTAAGTCCAGGTACAGCCCAAACGCTGGTATTTGGACACTGCTCCAGGACAGTATCTTGGCATTGGCCTCCTCAGGCCAGTACTCCCCACTCACCCTTCTCAGCGACCAGACCCCATTCTCAGGGAGATCCTCCCACCTCCTCTCGTTCAGTGTCCCCCTCACAGGCTCCGTCAGCACCCCCAGCTCCCAGTCCAGACCATCTCCCACCAGCACCTCCCAGTAGTGCTGCCCAGAGGCAAAGCCCTCCCTCCCCACCACGACGGGGAGCTGGCCCTCGGTGATGGGCCGCTGGGCAGGTGGCTTGTGCTGGACTGTTCTGCGGTCAGAGGACACAGCAAGCCCCGAGTGTTTCTGTGCTTCATCCAGGGTGATGGGCACTGGGGAGAGAGAGGAGGAGCCATTAGTGGCTACTGGGCAAGAGGGCCAGGAGCAGAGATCCTCATGAGAAGAGGCACCAGGTGCCTCCTAGAGAAAGCACTGGAAGGAGAGCTCCTGCTCCCAGCTCAGCCTGGAGACTAAGCCTGGCTTCTAGCCCGAGGCTGGTGCCTCTTTCCTCAGAAGCAAAGCAGGACAGCTTCATTCCCAAGCCTGCTGCTCCCAGCTCTGCCCTCTGAGACCTCGGCCATGGGTGTAGCGAGACCCAAGGGAGCATCCAGCCCATGTCCATGTGCCCCTGCTCAGCAGAGAGCAGTGTTTTGGGCAGCCTGTTGCAGAAGGATCAAAGGGGACTTGCTCCCAGTGCTCCTCTCATTTGTTTCCAGCCCTTCTGTCTGATTCCACCTCCACACACTTACCCATGTGGCTTCGAGCTCTTCTGAACACTGTTAAAAAAAATGGAAACCCAAATCAAAGGCAAATACGGTGTGTTCAAAGGCCCAAACACACATTCCGGGTCCATGTCCCTCCCACATTGGTGGCTCAGTGACCCCCTGTGCCTGAAGGGTGGTATCTCAGAAGCAATGGAGAAAGCCTTGTGTCCTGGCATCAGCTGGGCTGGTGGAGGGAGGACTGCTGTGTGGACATGTCAAAAGCGGAACTTTTTGTTGCTAGTCAGTGCTGAGCATGGCTTTCCCACATGTATGTGGTGCTCTCACCTCCAGGATGTGCATCACACACCCCCAGCTGACCCATGAGGAAAGCACAAACTTAGAGCCAAGCTCTCTGACCCTGCAGAACTCACTCTGCTGTGGGACAACCTGGGTCTCAGCTCATGCCCATCTGGAGTCCCTGATCTCTCCTCCAGCAGGAGCTCACCCAGGTTCCCCAGGGGGATGGGGCAGAAGGCCATGTCTGGGCTCTGCTTTGCGAGGACTGTGGGGTCCAGGGAAGACGCTGCTCCCAACCACAGACAGACTTGTGTGCAAAGAGGCAGAGGAAAGGAAGATGCCTTGACTTACCCACTTCTCTGCTTAGTGCATCTGAAACAGAAACAGGGAGTGTTATGGGCTGCGGTTTGGTCAGTGAGAGGACACTGCCACTGCTGGATCCAGACAGATACCCGGGGAGAAGAATGATGACCCCAGAGCAGGAGAACTGGTCACCATCCATCCCTAACTCCTGGGTACAGCATCAGAGACATCTCTGCATTGCCAAGGGCAGTGCAGTTCTGTCTCTGTTCCACAATGGCAACACCCCTCCCATTGCCCACTGGAAATGGTCTCTTACCAACTCGAAGCTTCAGGTCACGGTGTTCTGCAACAGAAATAGGAGAAAAACATCTTTTTTTTCCCTGTGGAGGATTAGAAGAAGGCATTTCAGATGTCCCTGCATCAGGTCTGCATGGAAGGAGGAAGGGACTGTGGGGTGATGTCCCTCCTGAGGGTGGTGCCCTGGGGGAGCCAGATCAGCCCATGGCCTCTCCATTTGTGTGAGGTGGGTGCTGCTGATGGCTGCAGGTGTGGATTTTGGTCTGCAGACACCTTGTCCTCCATTTCTCTCTTGGGACCAATTATGGGAATTAAAAGAGGATGTGTAGGAGAGGGCACCTTGGTGGAGAGCAAGGGTGATGCAGAGGAGTCACTGGGAGTGGGAGGAAAGTTACATGCTGATGGCTGCATGTGCTTCGGAAAACCCAAGTGGGACTTTCTCAAAACAGAAAGATTCCTTTTACTGTACCTCCATCCGTATGTTTCTTCTCAAGTTCTGTACAGGAAGGGAAAGAAGACAAGAGTCAGTTGGTGAGCAATGGCTTGGCATCCACACCACACCCCACAGGAATTCTGGAGGATCACAGCTGGTGGGAGGAAGGTGGTCATGGCCCTGACTGAGATCTGCCTTCAAGTAGTTTGGTCCTTTGGTCCTGGAGATGGATTGCTGGTGGGGTTACTCCTAAGTCCTCACCTGACACACACCCTGTCTCTTATGTCTCGCAATAATGCAAGGAAGAGGTGGGGAACTACCACATCCTTCCCTGAACAGTTGGCTTCCTGGGAAAAGGGCCCTGAGCTCTCCCCAGGGTCCTGCTCCTGCTGCTTGTGACAGATGAAAGGATGAGAGCAGAGGGGATTTGAAGCCACTTCATGAGGATGTCGGCAGGGGAAGGGACTGGCATCTTCCTCGGCTGGAGAGCCAAAGGAGCTCTCAGGAATGTGGCGTTTTTCAAATGTTGACAAACTCTTCAGCTCAGAGAAGAGGACAAGTGTCTCAGCTTTGCTCTGTGCCTGCAAGGAAAGCTCTCTCCAGCTGAAGGGGGGAAGGTGTTTGTGAGTAGGCACCAAAGTGGGTACTCAGAGAAAGAGATCTGCCTTACCTTGCTCCTGTAAACCCGTTTCTTCACTGGACTTTCTCTTAGAAGCCCTCTGTTTTGCTGTAACGTTCAAAGAACAGAGTGAAATAAGTTCTGAAGCACAAAGAAAATACCAGGAAGGGGATAGTGATGCCATGTGTGTATTGGATGGGAAAAAGCATCTGAATTCAGCCGGGACACGTCACAGCAAGTTGGATGGTCAAGGGGAGACACGTCATGCTGCGATGGGGCAGAAGATAAAAAGAACTTGTATTTGGCCCAACCCTATTGCATTGTATGAAGAAGATGAGCTCTTTGTCCAGATTTTGCCACCTTTTGTTTTTCTTCTTATATCACCAGCCTCAATACTGAGTGGCGTAAAAAATACTGGATGGAGTCAGGCTCTTTTCTGTTGTGCCTGGTGTCAGGAGAAGGGACCATGGGCATAAGCTGGAACACAGGAAGTTCCATCTGAACACACAGGAAAACTTCTTTCCTGTGAGGGTGGCAGAGCCACAGAAAAAGCTGTCCAGAGAGGATTTGGAGTCCTTCCCTGGAGATATTCCAAACCCGCCTGCATGCATTCCTGTCCAACCTGCTCAGGGTGACACTGCCTTTGGCAGCGGATTTGGGCTAGATGATCTCCAAAGGTTCCTTCCAACCCCTACAGTTCTGTGATTCTGTAACCACTTTAAATCTCGCCATTCATGTTACATCATCCATCTCCATTCCCCACCTTGAACCCTGTCTGCTCTGAACTCTCCAGGGTGACGGGATTGGGTCGGGGAAGCTGAGGCAGAGGCCACTTTATGCAGTGGTGGGACTGTGACCACGCTGATCCCTGAGTGCAGACCTCCCGCAGGACTCGGGTCATATCTCCCACCCTGCGTGGGTATGTCCACCCCCACAAGTGCCGAGCATGGGGTGGAAGGAGGTCTGAGCTCTTTGAGTTCAGGGCCTCTCTCTCTCACAGACAGGTTTCAGGGAGGCAGATAACAAAGGTCCCTTACCTCTAAAGACCAGAAAAGCACCAGCAGCCAATGTGAGAAGAAATAAAGTGAAGAGTATCCAGAAGGCAGGGACCCATGGAGACGCACGTGGAAAAACAGCACCTGTGAACAGAAAATATCCGAGTGTCCTCTGGCAAGATACAATCATTTCCCAGAAGTTGTGTACCCACCCAAAGAGTTCCTCTAGAGATGAATGGAGAACTAATCACAGTCCTGCACTTTCGAGCAGAGCTGCCTTCTCTAGGGATGGGTATCTAGGGCAGGAAGGACCCTTTGCATTTCTCACTGACACCCTGCAATTACTCATGATGGTCTGAGATCCATCTAGCTGGGCTGGAGAGCTATTGTGTTCCCTGTCACTGGAAAGGCCCTTTCAGGGCTTCTAGGATCAAGAACGGACAGCAAAGACTTCTCAGGATGATGTGACTCACTTGAGAGGTAGACAGTAGTTTTCTTCTCGGTCTGCACCAGGGGGTTCAGGATTTGACAGGTGACTTTTCCCACTTCCTCTCCTGTAACCACCACTCGACTCAGCACACTGAAGAATTGGTGGCTGTCCTTATTTATTTCAGTGTCCGGATTCAGGCTGTGCTTATTCTGAGAAACCCACCGGACAGTAGGTTTGGGGAACCATCCATGTGATCTGCAGGCGAGCTCAAGCCCGTGCCCTTGGGGGCCCAGTATCTCAATGAAAACTTCACCGGTACCTGAAAGGTGAGAGAGTTTGTTATTGGGAGAAATGCGTTTCAATGAAAGCAGCTCTACCTTGGATTCATAGGTCTTGCTTAATCCAGAGTTTGCTCCAATGTCCTGCCAGTTTCTCTCAGTCCTTAACCTGATCTTTAAAACGGTCTTTCTGAGATTCCATACTCTATCTGCCATATATGCCAACTTTTCTTTGGCTCATTAAAAGTCACTTCTGTGGGATGGATTTCCCTCTCAGCTCCCCGCTATTTCTTGGAACAGGCAGACAGAAGACATGTGGCTTTATATCTTTTCTTTTAGTATGAATCTGTAGGAGCCTTGTCCAAGTTTGAGGAGGTGGAAAGCAGAGAACAGCACAGTAAAGCTCACTCAGCTTGTTTCCTGGCACCTTCCTAGCTCAGGCTGGCACTAAAGGGTTGCTGCATGGGGACCAAAGCTGCTCCCCTGTGGGATGCACCACATACATAGCTACGTCAGACTCTGAGTCTGAGCTGGATTTCCTAGGAATTTTTCCCAGTCAATGGGCACCGGCTGGTTTTTTGTCTCTCCTATCCCAAAAACTGGTCTAATCTCCTTTGGATAAGAGGATGATGTTTTCCCATCAGTGAGTCCATGCTAACCAGTTCCTCCTGATGTTATAGATACCTATGCACAAATGATGCCTACTGTCCAGGTGAACTGGCAGGGCAGAACATCTCCTTAACCAGCTGGGAAGTCACTAGAGTGAAGACAGAGCACCATTCACATCACTACATCACTCAGGTATCCTGAGTACTTTTATGTCTCTCAGGTGGCCTTACACCTACCCAGCAGTGACTGTTGCAGCTAGTCAGCCACACACACACCACAACAGGGGCTAGGGATGAAGCCTGAAGGACATCTTTTGGCATGGCAACTCACCCCAGTCTCTTAGCAGCTTTAAGCAAGCTGTTCCTACAAGCTCCATTTCACTGTTCCATGCTACTGCCTTTGAACATGCATGTTGAAATCCCTTAGAACATGCATGTAGAAATCCAGACCCCATCTCTCCCAGAAGATTCAAATTTTAAACTCCTTCCTTGCCTAAAACCACCATGAACCTCATGGAGCTGGTCAGATTGCCAGTTCCCCGGATTCCCTCCTGGGTGGTGACACATGGGTTGAATTTTTCTTGGCTCCTTAGAGACTTCTCAGTGACTTAGAATTAAAGTATCCCATCTGATCAAAAGGCAGGTGCCATCTGGCACACTGGCTGATGTGAGTGGGGAGGTGACATGTTGGGTCCTATGGGTGGGGCATCAGCTGGGGGACAGTGCACTTCCAGATAACTTCTTTCCCTCTGTAAAAACTTCACCCCTACACCCCCTAGCCCATGAGAGATCCAACCTGCAATGCTGAGCACGGTGGCCGCATCAGCGCTCCAGTCCCTGGACTTTACGAGGCAGCCGTATGTTCCTTCATCTGCTGGCTGGACGTTCTTCAATGTTAGGGACACATTGCCGGTGGCAAATCCATCTGCTGTCAATGATGTCCGCCCAGGGTATTTCTGTGTTGATTTGCCATCAAACGGACTGTATATGTGGATGTCCTCTATACGCCCATCTGTGATCTTCTTCCATTGCACTTCAATGTTCTCCAGTGGCTTTGTGGAAGAGATGTGGCACGGAAGGATTGTGTCCTGGCCAACAATTCCCATTACATTCTTGGGAGAGGTGACCTCAAAATTTTCTGTGGAAACCAAGCTTGGGTGAGCATTTGGCTGAAATCAGTGAGGAAAAGTGCCAGCTTGAAGGACACAAAGGACTGGGATGACCATTTCTCCCCAATCCAGAGAAAGGGGAGAAAATTGAAAGTTGCAAATATTCACTAATGACATTGGTCCCTTCTGTTACTGCACTTTCAGGTCATGAGACAATAGATCATGAGAGAAAGATCCCAAACAATGGAAAGAAATGAAAAAAAAAACAAAACCCAAAAGGAGATGTTTTGGGGAAACTGTTGGTTCAGAAAAACTTAGAAAAGCATAATTAATGGTTTGATGAAAATAGTTAATGTGTTTTTCTTCAGTTTCTATAAAAGTTTCTTTAGGTTTTATAACAGATATATAAATGAAGTTTTTGTTTGGAGCATTCATTCACTCACTTTCTCCTTTTGTTCTTTTCTTGCTGGCAAAATGAGGGCAGGGAAAATTGGAAAGCCCAAAGTGATGGAAGAGGGGAAGAAACTAGGGTGATAGAAATAGTATAGGATGAGATTATCTGGGGGAGAGGGGCAAAAAAAAAAGTTTAAAAGAATGTACAGAGACATTTCATCCAGCTTCCCAGCCTGCCTTGCCCCTTTCCAACCCTGTGTCATCCTCAGTGGGGCAGCTGTGCTGATGCAAACTGTTTGTGCAGCAGGGAAATGCTATGGGCCCTGTGCAGGGGTAAATGTGGCAGAGCTCCCTTGGGTTGGGGCTTCTAATTTCCACCAAGGGATGGAAACTTGGGCTGGAAAGGGGTGGATTTCCCAAGAGCAGAGAGGCAGGGCAGCTCTAGCTCTTTTGGTTAAAATGAGACTTTTTCAGAAGACCATGACCCTCAGCTTGAGCACTTCTTATC